CCTCTACCGATGTTTTTGTGACATTTTTATGATTTTTACGATGTCAAATTCGACCATTTAATTTACACTACGTAGGCCATGATTTTCAAACGAAGTCAGCACGTGGCAGTACTCTCCGTATTTGATTTGATTTATTTGCAATTTCCACACACATGACACAATGATGACACAGATGAATAAATTTAAGGAAGAACAGCGCATGTAACCGTCGCATTCATGCAGACCAATAGCCCAGAGTACATAGAGGGCGCTATGTCAACTTGCTCATTCATAAAAAGGCCAGACAGTATGCTGGAGAATGCGGAGAGTCTGTGTCCTGTACTCCTGTAGGCATACATTTTAAAGCTATAGTCCATCATTTGCAGCCATCCGAAAAGTAACTGGTGTAATTATTGTTGAAAAACATACTTGGTTGAAAGATAGTAAGGGGACTAAACTCCCTGTGAAATTATTCTTTCTGGCAAGCTGTCATTTTGAAGTAATCAACGAAAGAAGGCCTTTCCAACGGTACCTCTTAAGACACACCTTAGGAAAATTTAAATTAGTAGTTCGTTTTGTTATTTGGCGAAGCACGCGCAAGCATTGGCACGACGCACATGCGCACGGTTGCTTTAATTCGTCGGATCAGTGCGCGACATCGCGTATAGCTGCAATCGGCTCAGTGAGAACGCGTCTCGGACGCTGAATTCAGGCCCAATTCAAAACATGATTCAGCAACTTTAGATTTGAAATTGAGATCCTAGAATGCTGTTTTTCTCGGAATATACAGCTGAAGCTGAGCTGACACTTCATCAGGTTAGTTGTTCAGTATCCTTCATTAGATTTTGAACACTTTTGTTGCTTCAAACAAACAAAATGCACAAATTACAAATGATGGACTATATCTTTAAAGGGAATGTACAACATTTGCTTTTGCTGCAGTTTTCAGACATAAATGAATTTGGAGGATAAGTATGTTATAGCAAATATTGTTCAACTGACTTGTTTCACGTTTTGGGCTTGTAGATGCTGGAAAAAAACATAGAAAACCAATCATGTTCTTGTAGTCTGGTTCCTTGACCCCACTTAAGATGAAACGGAGCAATTTGTAGACTTTGGGAAATTGTAAGGTCAAAGGATCAGTCTAGCAGGCTTGTACCCCTTTACAGGTGTGTAATCAATTGCAAAGAAAATGCGGAATAGCTAGATACGAAAAACTAGGAGCAGTTTTTGAAAAAAAGCCAGTTTTTTTCCAATGCTGGTCGGCCGATCAGCGTTTAAAAAATTACAGTTTTTCTTAAAAATGTCAGCACATCACGAGCCACGATTTTACAGGATGCTTTAGACTGTCATTCCCTTACAATCTTGTAAGGTATTTCGTGATAATTTGATCATTTCGCTGTTTGATGTTTGCAAATGTTGTATCTTCCCTTTAATGCTTTATTATACTTTTTTTATATAGGCCTACCTGTATACAAAGCACAGAGTTAGACGATGTTCTTCCTTTAATTTATTCACTATCGATATCAGTGCAAGATTCGGCGGCACCACAGCATGAAACAAGCCGAATGCCATCAGTATAAGATTATAAACAAGACCGGCTTTTTTAGAAACGCTGAAATCTGCCGATATGTGGGCAAGTTGCACGCCTGATAACAATCATTTTGACTCACCAGCCAGACTGCTCGTTTTAAGTGTTAGGTTGGCTCAGTGCGGAAAGGGCATATTTTTCAACATTTTTGCCGAAAACAGAAGAATCCACCGATGTTTGTTGGGTGCACATAACGTGAGTCATGAGATATTGTACGGAGTTTAGGGGCAAACTGTGCAGCGGTTCTGTGGGAAAAAGCTTGGTTGGGATGGACGTTTTTGTACTTAATTAGTGTTTTGTGCTGACAACAATTTTGCGGGGTTCTGTGTCTATGAGGCTCACTGGAGAGCCTCATACTCATAGTTCTAGGAGTAGGTATTTAGCTGTGTAAAACTTGGGAAAAAGTTGACTGTTGAATGACATGTATCCATGGTGTTATGAGTTATACTTACATTTGGCAGAGAATTTGACTCAGGGCAACGCCATCTGTGAGCTCTGCTACAGTTTCTGGACTGTTGTCCAAATTAAAAGTTTGTACCTGTAAAAAATGAATTAGAATTTAGCTATCGTAAGATAACTGTTTCCACTGTACAGTATATGACCAATACAAGAGATTGTTTACTGTGTGGTCTAGCTCACCTGCATCTAAAAGCTACGCGGTCCTATTTCTACGCACTCACCTTCAATTTGTGTGTGATCGCGCGTTGCGCTACCTGCGCAGATTATGGAGCGTCGAGGATACACGGTTTGCGATTGTGTGAACACTGAAGCTGAAGAATAAAGTTTAGTTCGCCAAGGCATAAGCGCCACTCGATCACTGAAAAATCAACTATGATTTTCACATGAAGCAAGACAAAAACAAGCGATCCAATACACTTACCCAGGTGAGAAGACTCTCACAGAGTTCATGATTCGTCATTTTGATGAAATCACTGCCTAAAAAGAATTAAAACCATGAGAGAAAGTCACTTCCCAATTTCAACCCGGACGGTAAACACTCAACCTGCATTTCCTTTCGATGAAATGTCTACGTACCATAGCTGCAACATCACAACCGGAGCGATGATAATTATGATAATATATGTACACGTCACTCGGTCGCGCGCGGTCGCCCTGAATGCAGCAGGCCCACCCACTAAATCGACCTCAGTGACAATTACGCGTACTTCGAAACAATTATCTAAAATGCTCACAAATCTCCAAGGTATTTAAGACACCCATTAAATTAAAGCTTATTCCATCACATTTTATTTTCAGTTCATACTTTGATGGTAATTTGACGACTTTTGGAAGAAAATTCCATCTAAAGATGATCACCTCATCCCATCACCATTTTGAAAAATGACGCCTGTGCTCCATTGCAAATAAGTACAGCAATTTTAGGGCTCAATTTCATTCGAATTTCACAGAAATACGAGCTCGCACTCCTGTGCACGGCTTCCACCTATCTATATTCAAGTATATGGTCCACTAAATGCTCGAATAGCAAAGCAAGAGCATACAAATCGTGATTTGGCCCGCCGAGGCAATTTTGGGCCGATAATACAGGTCTAGCGTGCTTTTATCAACATATCATAAGTGGTTTTTTTTTAACAAAAGTTTCAAGTTGTATTTTTTAAAAACAGGACAAACATTTTATTTCTCTAGTTTAGACGTTTTTAATCCTCTGAATAGGGCCCGTGAGTGCTATCATATCTGGATTGTTTTGCGCTCATAATACTAACTTTCAATGAAAATTTGAGTATTTTGCTCCATGTCTCATTCAAAAATGGAAAAAAGCAAATGTTTGTGCTTACTTTTCTGCTTTGTTTTTAATCCCCCCAGTCAAATTTGGTATGTTGACATTGTCGCTTGCTCTTAACTTTGTTTCCACCATGGTTTCCACCAATGAACAATTTGAATGTTTTTTTTAATAAAACTTTTTCCCACTAAATTTAGTTTCTGCGACCCTCTGAAAAAGCCTTTATTTTGGATTACTTTTGCACGAAAAAGTGAATTTAGTAATTATTCCATAACGAAACATTGGTATATTTTTTCATTCGATGCGTCATCCAAATATGAATAACTTTGAACACTTAAATTGTTAGGGGGGAAAGCAAGTAAAAAATGAATACATTTTTTTTCAGAAAATCGGTGCGAAGGCTTGAAAACTTCTACAGATCAGAAGTTCAAGTTTCTAGCTGGTATTGAGCTTGAGGACTTCGCCACTTTTGATTGGGATAATCATTTGCATGCGTCAAGTGACTGATCAGTCCTTCTTTTCCATTTCATTTTCATTTCATTTATTAATTTCACAGGTAAAAATTCAAGTACAGACAATAAGAACAGTAAAGAAAACAAAAACATGCACATACAGTTAGGAGAGAGAACAAGAAAAAGAGAAAAAAAAGTAGCACCCCTGATGGATTTTAAAAAAGTAAACTAAATTACTATCGAGTTAATCTCCTGATGCCACAATTTAAGAAGAGACAATACAAAAGGACATTACAAATGGACATTATTAAAACATGGCTTACAGTATAAGAATATAGAACTATACAAGCAGTTAAAACTTTAAAAGCACAAATGGGCATTAAATAATACAGATTCGGTAAAAGAGAGATTCGAGTGAATTATAATGCAAAAGGCACTATAAAATTGAGAAAAAAAAACAAGCAGCAAGGTATTTGAATGGGCAAGGCAACTAGAAATTTAAACTGTTTTGGTCAAGGGGACCTCCTGGCCAGGGACTAATAAATGATTTCTGAGAGAATTTGTAAAGGAGGATAAACTATGGATAATTGTATCTTTAATGCAGGCCGGTAGTTCATCCCATAATCTAGGGAATCTGTGAAAAAGAGAATGATGGGCAGCATTGGAACGAGCCCGATGATGGACAAATTTAACAGATTCGATATGTCTACAATTAATGGGAATTAGAGTGTCAGTGTCAACGTCAAATTTGTTATTTAAATTGGCTGGAAAGCCTTAGAAATAGTGAAACATTCCTTTGTCTAATAACACCAGTAACACCTTTGTGTTGAGATTCTTAATAAACGGGAAAAATCGTCTCCCACCAGCATTCGCTAACTAGTAGATGCACATACAAACATACTTTATACCTGCTTTATATTGGATATTGCATTATTCATATCTGATCGCCCCATGACCCGCATGCGATTCAGAAGCGGTTGTGATGTAAGCTCTCAACATCCGCCGGTTATGTTTCATTGGTGAACAGTACAGATATGATTCACCGCCACGCGTCGGGGGCGTCTTCGGGAACAGAGTACCAATGAAGAGCACCGCCGAACACTCCTCGAACGCAGTAAACAGCCGTCTACAGTCTCGAACGCAGTAAACAGCCGTCTACAGTCACTGTCTCCGCGCATGCAAATGTCCGAGATCGACGTGTTTATTTTGCGGAAGTGGGCACTTTTTTGTTTTGCCCTTTCCAGATTCTTGATGAAGCTTAATTTGCGCATCCTTGCTAGCGTAAAATCATGTACGGTTTTGCTGTGTTGTGTTAAGAAATCTCTTCTCCCGAGTAATAGCGGCTGGAAAAGAGGCAATCAACTACACGTCGAATTGTTGGTCTGGGTCCTGAACTTCTTCCCACGTTCACCTTCGGAATAAAACTCCGTAAAAGCATGGGCACATACTATTACTTTAGCCAGTGTTTTCACTTGCACGGAAACATGCACTTTGATTGTGTGAAGTAAAGTAAAATCGCTGAAAAATGGAATCCTCTGCACCTACCGATGTCATGCAGACAGGGACAATTATTGAAGGTGTTGGTGATGAGCTTGTGCACGCCTTCGGAATTGTTCTTGTCCTCGCACTTCCGTTTGTCATTGCGTATTTCAACAGGTAAACACAACACTGTCACTGACTCACTGGCACAGTGACTGACACTGAGTGCTACTGCTAGCTAGTGACACTGACAGTCATCATACAGTCGAACTAGCGCGCGCCGCGCTCACCCAACACAGGGTGGGCATCCTTCATGGGGCCCAGTGTCACTTTAGCCCAGGTTGGACTCCTCCGTTGTGTACAGTACACGCGATGGAGTCCAGGGTATGAACTTTTGCTGCCATAACAAAAAAAAATTGACAACAAATTGTTGTCATATTTTTACCTGATTACACCACTCGATCTCTACTCTTCATGCGGTTGGTACCGGTTGTGTACAAAGTCTATTGAGTGTCTAGCTCTATCTACTGAGTGGAGGGCTGGAACTTCGATAGTCGGTACCCTCCGTACAGAGGGTACCGAAGTTCCAGCGCTCCGCCTAGTAGAGCCATGGAGCTATAGCTCCATGGTAGAGCTCTTGAGAGTCAAGACAATTTTCTGTTTTCCTAGTTCCGGATTTTTCCGAGTTCCGGAACTAGTATGGGGCGCCTTTTGTCAAATAGTTATTTAGCCAATTTAAGCATGTTTTTACCATGGTTTAGCTCAAGTTATATGTAAACGATAAATTTGTAATCAAATTGTTTTACTGTTTACAAACCATTAAACCACTCTTTGTATCAACATTATGATTCATAAACCTTGAAAAACATAAAGTCATTGTTTACAAATAATGGAAACTGGCAGGGTGTGCAAATTCATGGTTTGCAAACCATGAAAACTACACTCTTGTACACTTGTGTGGTTTACAGTCGACTCTCGTTAGTACAAACTCTGTTAATACAAAATTTTGGTTATAACAAACATAAAGCCTTGGTCCCGACTGTGCATTTATGTGCACAATGAATGGGACTGATGTTCCTCTTAATACAAAATTCTGATAAAACAAACAATTTGGCTAGGTCCGAACGAGTTTGTTATAACGAGACTCGACTGTATACATAAATGAACAATGATCAACGATGTGCAAGTTCCTGGTTTATAAACAATGAAAACTACACACTTTTACACTCTATGGTTTATAAATAATGAACAACGATGTGCAAGTTCATGGTTTATAAACAGTGAAAAACACACTTGTATGCTTCTATGGTTTGTAAATAATGAACAACCATCAACAAAGTGCAATCTCATGGTTTATAAACAATGATAAGGACACACTGAAAAACAATAAACGAAGCGTAATTTCATGGTTTATTGACACGTGCAACGCAGTGTTTCATAAACGTTTAAATCCAAGTTATGGTTTACCAAACCCCGATTATTATTTCAAACTCGTCAATACTGAACTACTGGTGGCCGGCCCATTGAGCGTACGTACTGAAAGCTACGCACGATCGTTCGGGATCCAGTGTAAATAAAAGGAGAGATAGAGAGGGCGCTCTATGTATCGACCGCGTATTGCCATTTTTACGGCCAGCGACACTAACTTGATCGGCTGTCATGTCAGTAATGCCTCCTTATTCACTGCAATCGTAGGCTGAATCTTCATCGTGGATCGTTTTTTATGCCCCGCGGCGAAGCCGAAGGGGCATACTGTTTCCGCCTTGTCCTTCCGTGGGTGGGTGTGTGGGTGGGTGGGTGGGTGTGTGGGTGTGTGTGTCCGGACAAATCTTGTCAGCGCGATAACTTGAGAAATACTTAACATATGAACTTCAAATTTGGTTTGTGGATTGTCCTTGGTAATCCTAAGAAGCCTTTTGCATTTGGGGCCGAAAGGTCAAGGGTCAAGGTCACAGTGGCTGAAACAATAGAAATTTTGTCAGCGCGATAACTTGAGAAATACTTAACATATGAACTTCAAATTTGGTTTGTGGATTGTCCTTGGTAATCCTAAGAAGTCTTTTGCATTTGGGGCCGAAAGGTCAAGGGTCAAGGTCACAGTGGCTGAAACAATAGAAATTTTGTCAGCGCGATAACTTGAGAAATACTTTACATATGAACTTCAAATTTGGTTTGTGGATTGTCCTTGGCAATTCTAAGAAGCCTTTTGCATTTGGGGCCGAAAGGTCAAGGGTCAAGGTCACAGTGACTAAAACAAAAGAAATTTTGTCAGCGCGATAACTTGAGAAATACTTTACATATGAACTTCAAATTTGGTTTGTGTATTGTTCTTGGTAATCCTAAGAAGCCTATTGCATTTGGGGCCGAAAGGTCAAGGGTCAAGGTCACAGTGGCTGAAACAATAGAAATTTTGTCAGCGCGATAACTTGAGATATACTTTACATATGAACTTCAAATTTGGTTTGTGGATTGTCCTTGGCAATCCTAAGAAGCCTTTTGCATTTGGGGCCAAAAGGTCAAGGGTCAAGGTCACAGTGGCAAAAACAAAAGAAATTTTGTCAGCGTGATAACTTGAGATATACTTTACATATGAACTTCAAATTTGGTTTGTGGATTGTCCTTGGCAATCCTAAGGAGCCTATCGCATTGGGGGGTCGAAAGGTCAAGGGTCAAGGTCACAGTGGCTAAAACAATAGAAATCTTGTATGTATTCTGAGATCATAGGGATTAGGGATTAATTCATATAAAACATACAGAAGACACTAATGCTGTCAATGAACGTTCCATTTGACCAAGGTACATGTAAGTTGATGTTAGAGTGGTGTTATGTCATGGAAACAGTCACGGTTGCGGGGCATTTGTGTTTGTAAACACACCTGACTTGTTTCATCCTGGAGCAGTGCGGAGGATTTCAAGTATAATCTAGGCCTAAATGTATGCACGGCTGAGCATAAACAACACAAGGTCCGGCCTAAGACCTTGACACAGTGCATCCTTAAAAATTATTCACACATTTTGGCCATATGGCCTCAATCCTGCAAAACAGGATTTTGGGGATTTTTGGAAAGTTTAGGGCTAATGTTATACAAGCCAATTATATCTGAAAATATTCATGAAAATATTCTTTCATATTTGGGACCTTTTTTTTGTTAACAGTAGAAACCAAGCCACAACTGAAGCTATCCACCCGGAAAATGAACAGCGCGTTTACGAGGCCAGACAGCGATTGGGCGTGGATACAGAGACGGCAAGCGTCAACCGTCAACAACAACAACAACAGCAGCCACAAGAACAACAACAAAATGGCAGCACCCAGTTACCGCCGGCTAGGCACAGATACAGTACAGATCCAACCTGCCCAGTCTGCCTCAGTGATTTAGCCTACGCAACCGAGACAAACTGTGGCCATGTTTTTTGTGGTATGTGTTGATGACTTCCATACAGCTATGTAAGATTACAAAAAAAGCCTGCTGGGCATATATCTACTACGTGTCAAAAAACATGTCCTACTTTTGATCCTCAATAACTCTGTTGTTCACCAATGGAATTAAACCAAAATTTCAGATAATGTAAACAAGACATGACACATTTTATGGAGCGAGTTTCATCAGCTTTGTGCAAGAGAGTAAGATTTAAATGCCATACGAAAGAAACTGCCACTTTCAACTTGGTAGCCTCCAATGTCGATACAGTGCTGGAGACGGTGGCGGAAGGCGCGTGCTGCAGTCGAAAGCTTCTGAAGGAATGCAGGATCACCCCTGATGTCATTGCACACCTCCTGGATCGTTTGGCGCAACACAAGATCGAGAAGGTTTGCAATGACATCAGGGGTGATCCTGCATTCCTTCAGAAGTTTTCGGCCGCAGCACGTGCCTGCCGCCACTGTATCCAGCGCTGACGTTCTGAAAAAATCGACAGAGCTATAGAAAGGTCAAAATTGCGAAAGAAAAATCCCGATGCCAACTCTGTGGACCAAGTGTGTTTAAAATAACTTTTATATTGCAAAAACCAGTGGGTCATAGGCGTAAAAAATTATCAGGCCAAATTGCAGACGTCCATATTGTATCGCCATATTGGCCAAACATTTTAAATGACTAATATTTGGAAATTAAAAAAAGTCTTCCCTTGTTTGGTATTGGTCAGTTAAACAATTAAACAGGTTAATTACATTTGTAAACGGAGCAATGTTAAAGGTATCCTATTAAGCAAACAAAGTAAGTATATTAGACGGACAAACGAATGTAAAAATAAATTTTCAAAATAGAATTGTTTTTCTACCTACCTACCTGGATACTTTTTAGAACATTACCGTAATTGGTCTACGGAATATTTCCCTTGAACACCAAGCGTCAATGATATGCGAGCAGGTTCGGCAACAAGACTACATCTTGCCTTCGAGATTCTGACAATTCAGATTTTCTGACCATTCGCCTTCTATATTGGGTCTTCGCAACATACTTTTACGTAGTGAATTTTGTTAGCAAAAATAGGCTGCCGTCATGCGGCCTGTAACGATATGTTACGCGATGAACAAACGTCCTGCAGCTTTGAATGATCATCACATAACATTTTGAATAACGTGCGTAATGCGAATGCCCTCTTGCGCGTTCACGTCCATCTAAGATGAGCATTAGCGTAATCTATACGCGCAGCATTTTTCTAACAGTTTGAAAGCAAATGTCGGATTTCATTAGATCTCTATGCCCGTCGTTGTATTACAAAAACATGGCATCCAAATTGACGAACAGCTTAGTCCAGATTTCGGAACGAAATGACGTCATGTCGACTCCGATTGGTTGGTGCGTGGTTCGCATAAAGTTGCATGCTTATTATATCAGACGTTGGACCAGAGACAGAGAAGGCTCTGTTGGACAATGGGTGATGCTCAGACTACATTTGAATTGGCCAGAATTTTAAACTCATGTGAAATGCTTATCACATGACTTGAAACTGAACATAAATGCATGATTGACTTTGTGATTGGTTATGATGATTTTTGATTATTTACAAATCTACTTTTTTTCTCTCTTTTGTGAAGGAAACTGTTTAATTACTTACTGGAGACATGGCAACTGGCTGGGTTCCATCAGGTGTCCTGTTTGCAGACAGCAGGTAGGGACAAAACTCAGAAAGTCTTAAGGCCAAAAAAAAATACTTCTACTTCCAATTACATGGCATTCGAAAATAGGGTAGGTAGGTAGGGAATTATTTTTTGGGGGCCAAATTTTTTGTGTGCATGATCATATGGAGGCGTCTGCGTGAAGTCAAGGGTAAAAGGTAAAAAGTGATGGTTTTGAGTGTTTTTCCCTCATTTATCCAATAAAAAAAATAGGGTAGGGGCTGTCAGAATAGGGTAGGTAGGGAAACCGGAAGCAGAACTATTATTTTTTTTGGCCTAAGGTATAGTTAAACAAAATTAAACATGGTTGAGTTCGGGTGGATAGTCGATATTAGCTCCCCTTGGTATGGGAAGTTGACAGACTAGTTCTTTGCCTCTGGAACTTCCAATACCTCGGTGAGCTAATATCGATTATAACACCTCACCCACAGATTCTGTGTCTTGATTGGCCGAGAGCAAGTCACATGGTACTTTCTATTTTGCCATTTTTCAGTGCACGGCCAAAAGTACTATACCCATAGCAACCAAAGTACTATACCCATAGCAACCAAAATACTATACGCACTGTGTGCAAAATGCATAGGAGTACGTTGCGCGTATTGTTTCCAAGCGTGAGCGCTACAGAGCTGGGTTCAAACATTTCGTGAAGGGGTAGTTAGAAAAATTGCAAGTTAATTTTCCACTAATTTCGTATTCAAATAGAAGTAATTTTTTATTGTATTCAGATTAAATTAATCAGATATCGCTTAAAATCAAGCAGAATCTGTGGGAGAGATGTTATAAAACAAATATTGACTGCTTTATGTCGTGGTGAGGCTTGAGAGGCTAGTTTTACTACACCACTCGAAGCAGTCAATATTTGTATACTATCCACCCTCAAACCATGTTTTCACTGAGCCTCAACCGTCTCCACTAGCTTACCCAATTTTGTAACAATTGCAGTTATGATTCCAATACCCGAGCTTCTTGGGTGTAAATGTGTAGATAGTGTTGCAGTCACTGAGGGGCTGTGTTTGTTCACATGCACAGGTGACTCTGTTACTGCCAATTTTCCGAGAGGTGGACCACACGACAGAGGACGCCCAAGCAGTGACCACGGAGATCAACAACTACAACCGACGATTCTCTGGGGAGCCGCGACCGGTGAGTAGAATGTGTGGAGATTTCATCGTAAAGAAAATGAGTTAGGTTCATTCCATGCCAACTGTCCTAACTTTTTAAGAAGTTGTCTAGTACCCGTCTCAGATTTCGTTGATTTTTTTTTTTTTTAAATACCTCTGTGGTTTTTATGAACGCGTGAAACTTCAGCTGCCAACTCCAAGTTGTTAGTGAATAAGAAAATTTCATCCAAATCTGGTCACCGGAAAACCTAAGTTTATCACTTGTTTATCATTACTTATCCATGGTTCATGCTCAAACCTTCCTCCTAACAAGAGTAATCAGAATAACCGCAATCTTTAACCTTTGAACTTTGACCTTTGTACCCCTTCTTCATCCCCCCACCCCCTTTTTTTGCAGCTGATGGATTACATCCATATTTTTAGGGGGTCGTTATCTCGCTAAAGACTTGGACATGTTGGACTTGGCAGCCAAATTTCCTAGCAAACACAGAGGTTCTTATGAACATTTCATCCAAATCTGGTCACCTGGCAACCTAAGTTTATCATTGGTTTATCATTACTTATCCATGGTTCATACTCAAACCTTCCTCCTAACAAGAGTAATCAGAATAACTACAGTCGGTAACCTTTAAACTTTGACCTTTGTAACCTCCTTCATCTTCTTCATCCCCCCTTGTTTTTTGCAGCTGATGGACTACATCCATGATCTGCCCACCCTCTTGCGCCACGCCATGCGGGAGTTCTTCACTCTCAGCGGCCTGGTCTGGATGTTCCGTCTCCGTATCATCGTCTGCTTCTTAGCCGCCTTGCTCTACTTCGTCTCCCCGCTGGACATCATTCCCGAGGCCGTCTTTGGCGTGCTCGGTTTCGTCGACGACCTGCTCATACTGCTCCTCTTGTTGATCTACGTCACCATCATCTACCGGAGTTTCATTGCGGCCCGGGCAGCGGCTGTCTGACAGCACCTACCCTTCCACAGAATGGATCGCTCTGGATTTGGCCATAAGCTCTGCTCGCCTTTTTGTTTGTGTACATTTCTCACACTGTCTGACAGTACCTACCCTTCCAAAAAATGGATTGTTCTGGATTTGGTCATAAGCCCCACCCATTTTGGGGGGTTTGTGTACACTTCTCACATTGGCTGTCTGACAGTACCTACCCTTCAACAGAATGGACCTTTCTGGATTTAGCCATAAGCTCCGCCCACTTTTTTGGTGTGTACATTTCTCACAGTGCTTGTGACCAAGTTCCATCCAATTGGTCAATTTGTACTGATTGACAGGCAGGAAAGATCCATTCCCTTTCTTTTCTTGCAAAAAAAGCTGAAAAAGCAATAGTTCCGCAACAATTATCAGCTCAACAATACCTACCCCTCACAAGAATGGACTGTTCCTGGTTTATCAATAAGCCCGCCCACTTTTGGTTTGTGTACATTTTTGAGTGTCACCTGACCAAATGTCATGTTCTAATTGGTCAATTCATACTGACTGAATGACAGGCAGGAATGGACCATTCCCTTTCCCTTTTCGCAAAAAAAAGGCTGAAAATGCAGTAGTTTCACAACAATTATCAGCTCAACAATACCTACCCCTCTCAAGAATGGACTGTTCCTGGTTTATCAATAAGCCCGCCCACTTTTGGTTTGTGTACATTTTTGAGTGTCACCTGACCAAAAATCATGGTCTAATTGGTTATTTCGTACTGACTGATTGACAAGCAGGAATGGACCATTCCCTTTCCCTTCTCATAACAAACAGCTGAAAATGCTGTAGTTTCACAACAATTATCAGCTCAACAATACCTACCCCTCATAAGGATGGACTGCTCTGGATTCATCCATAAGCCCGCCCACTTTCAGTTTGTGCACATTTTTGAGAGTCACCTGACCAAAAGTCATGGTCTAATTGGTCAATTCATACTGACTGATTGACAGGCAAGAAGGGACCATTCCCTTTCTCTTTGAACAAAGAAGCTAAACATATCTTAGGGCCGCAACAATAATTTGGTCAACAGTGCCTACCCCCCATAAGAATGGACTGTTCCTGATTGAGTCATAAGCCCGCCCACCTTTGGTTTGTGTACATTTTTGAGTGTGATGGAGCTAGTCTGGTCACCTGACCAAAAGTCATAAACTGATAGGTCAATTTGTGCTGATTGTCAAGCAGGAAGGGACCATTCTATTTTCCCTTCTCACAAAAAAAGCTGAAAATACATTGGGCCCCCAGCAGTTTCTTGTTGACAGTTTCCACCCCTCATAAGAATGGACCATTCGAGATTTGGCCGTAAGCCCCGCCCTCCTTTGGTTCTTGTACATTTTTTAGTGTGATGGGGCTGCTTTGGTCACCTGACTAAAAGTCCTGATCCGATTGGTCAATGAGCACTTTTTGATTCACAGGAAGAAAGGGTTGATTCCTCTGCCCCATACTTCAAAAAATGCTGAAAGGAAATAGGCCTGCAATGATGATTCATTTGAAATGATTAATCGATCAGTATGTTGGTTATTTGGTAACATTTTTTCCGGTAGAGGGTTATATTAGACACAAAAGACGCTAGTAACAATTAATTGGCACAGTTATTTTTTAGCCATAACTTGCAACTGCTATAATTCCTTCACTGACATAAGCCCGGTTTATACTTCACGTGAATGCGAATGCGAAGCGAATTTGACGTCATAAAAACATTCGCTGCGAAATTCGCCCGAGTTGAAATATGTTCAGCTTTTACGAATTCGCAGCGCGAATACTTGCCATGACGTCATAAATTCGAGGCGAGTATGAACTGGGCTTTAATATCTTCACTTCTCGTACATGTATAAAATGTAACGAAAATGACATATATGGTGATTGGTTGGAAATCGTCAAATGTCACAATCTCGATTGCACCATTTGAAATGGCCTATTGGTCGAGAGCCCGTCACATGGGTGGTTTTAAACAGTTGATAAAAAAACATCAACTGGTTTTATCATTTAACGGTTTTTTTCTCACAATTCACACTACATTGGCACCGCTGCGTTCTGCGTCACATCGCGCAGTATGCACCACGCATGCGCCAATCTCCATATATGGAGATTTTTAGTACTACTCACAAGAGGCACGTACCATGAACATAGCTAGAGGTGTGCTTCACAAAACATTATGTAAAATTGTTACACAAAATCATTGAAAATTTATAATTTTTGACTTTTTGACCCACATGCATTTATGAATGGGAATAAATTTGTGCTCGACTGGTTTTAAACAAGTACAGGGCCTGGTCACAGGTAATGTGCCTCGCCTTCGGCCCAGGCCATTATCAGCAACCAGGCCCCTACTAGCCGGTTTTAAATGTACTCGTTTTGATAAAACCGGCCAAGCAGAAATGTATCCCTTATGTAAGGGGTAAACCGTTCTCACCATTTTTTGTAGTTGGCATCTGCTCGAAGCAGCAGAGAGGTTTTGAAATTATTTTGATAAAAAAAAAAATGTTTAAGACGTGCAGGGTCAAAGCAAAACATTGTGCCTTCAACTTTTGATTCCTTTATGTAAATTTGAAATGTATATAATGCATCTAGCATGATGGAATTTAATGACTTGTATTAAATTCATGGATTGTTCAAAAGTTGAAGGAAAGGCTTTTTGAAGGAAAACTTGTTTATTGTTTATTTTGCGATTGAAATTTAGAAAGTATATGCTCTGTGTCGCTCATTAGTCTGCTCTGAAATATGTACTGATGAATTGCGAAAACAAAATTAGACTTGTGCAAGTCTTAAAGGGCCCTTGGAATGTATTTGTTGTTATGCAATTCTTGGAAGTGCACCTTTTTTTCATTTAACCCTATTTTAAATATCGCTTTGCCATTTTCAAGGGTATTTTGGTGCCTTTGGTGTTTATGCTAATAAAAATTTCGACATTCATGAGCAAAAGTGTGATGTCATTTCAGGCAGAAACTTCAATGGTACAGCTATTTCTGCACCAAAAAAATGCCAGAATTTTGGATATTTTGCTGTCGCAAATTTGTTGATTCGTTGTTGTGTCAGTACATGGCAATAAGCCAATGAGCAAACATTTCTAACAAACATTTTCAATAAGCAAATTTTTTGAGTTCACAATTTGAACAGAAAACCCTAAACTGAACAGTGTCTTCCTGAAATGACATCACAGCGACAGCACCCTCAGTTGTCTGAAAAAGCATGGGCAATTTTAAATGTTAAACCAGTTCGCACCGGGATTATGTTGACTACCAGACGGGTTCAGGCCGTCATCTGGGGGTAGCACACCCCGATATTTCTGGCCAAGGATCCATGACACAAAGGAGAAACCATTGTGCGTGCTACTGCCCCGTGCCACATTAGGCCAAAAAAAACTTAGTTCTGCTTCTGTTACATGGCATTCTAAAATAGGGTAGGTAGGTAGGGTTTTTTTTGGGGGGGGGGGCTATTTTGTGCGTGTACAATCATGGAGGCGGCTGTGAACATTCTCGTGTACTGAAGTTTTCGAGTTTGAAAGTACAGTTTCAAAATGCTCTTATGTTAACCAGAATTAACTTCCTTGGCTGAAATTCGGACTTAATATCCCTTTTCTTAAACTCTACCATTTGCGACAGATCAACATACCTTGAAAATTCCTAGTTTTCGAGTAAAATCCATATATTTATTTTGTGAAAACCTTGTGGAGACGTACTCATCTATAGAATTTTGCCTTGTGGAGACGTATACAATGTTTTGTTCCCTATTGTGTGCATGTCTCCAGAGGGCACGGTGTATCAGATCATATAGACAAGGGTAAAAGGTATAAATTGACAGTTTAAGGTATATTCTCAATTTTCCCATAAACAAAATTAAGTTAGAGGCTGTCAGAATAGGGTAGGTGGGGAAATTGGAAGCAGAGCTAATTTTTTTTTTTTTTTTGGCCTTTTCGGCTTTCGTCTATTGACAGGGGCCTCTGTGATCCAAAAAATTGTCGGCATATTTCCAAATCATCAAACATTCAAATTACATTAGTGACTAACATTATATTATGTATATTTATTAATATAACAGGAATGTTTTACTCATTGCCCGTGCTTGTAAATTTTTGGGTGTGGTGTGAACTACGGCGATTATAATTTTGTACATTGATTGCAATATATGCACTAATTTCTTTAGAAATGCCTAATGTCTGTATTAAAGACGAATTGTCAACTCGTTTTATTTTGTAAACATTTTTCATGAAAAGTGGTCTTTTACATTGATCAAATTATTTGGAAATATTTTTGAATTAAAAAAAATCACTCTTACGCATAATTTGTCTGACTTTCATTGAGGTTTTTATTGAATGAGTGTTGTATTTTTAACTATTTTGACACAATTTCTCATGATAAACCTAATTTTAAAAGTTATGTTGTAGCAAAATTTGAATTGTTTTGCCAACAAAAATTGCATTTAAAAACAAAAATCAACAGGGGAATGAGAATGCAGTGCTCATTTCTTTACTGGCTACAAGCAGCGTTAATTAATATATTAGGGAGAAAACAATGGAAAATCAAAAATGTGGATTATTAATTAAAGTTGACATGGACTTTTTCAAGGTTTAGGCCTTTTTAGGGCCTTCCCCGACCGAAAATGTGCAATCGCACTAGCGCCCTCTTTTGTCGCGTCTGTGCCATTTCATATTGCAACATGGCGACGTACAGTGGAAACCAATTTGGGGTGTTGCCGTCGTAAAAAAAATCACTTAGTTCCATTTCCCGGACATTTATCCACCCGCGATTGCCGTATTATCCAAGCCCCTGGCGCGCACTTATCGACTCGACCATGGAGCCCAGCGAAGACAACCTCCAAATGCTCGTCAGCATGGGTTTTTCCGACCTGACAGAGATCAAACGAGCGCTAGCGCTGAGCAAGAACGACGTGAACGAAGCGGTGGCGATCCTGACCAACGAGCAGCCGGGACTTTCCTACGACACGGTGGACGAAGTGGTGGAGATGTCGGAGGATCGGGGCGGGTCTGGGTCGGGCAAGTCGAAAGGGGAGCCGCGGCCCGAACTCAAGCTTAACCCGGATACTGCACCGCCAAGCTACGATGAAGCTGTTGAACCTGAAGAGGTGAAGCCAACATTTTGTTTCTTTCTCAGATATTTTGTTGGAAAGAATGTTGCATTTGCAACCTGACTGTACTTCAGCTAATGTTGTGTACAAAGTCTAACGTTATGGAGAGTCAAGCAAATTGCCTAAGTATTTCCTAACAAAATTGAAAATGTTTTTCAGTCCCAGATCCATGTCTCATCGTCATTTTTGCAATGACTGACCTTCATTGAGATGATATGAAGACAAAAGCAGCGTCAGGTTGCAACATTCTTTCCCTTTTGTTTATGCCTGCCAACCTTCAACTTTAATTAATCTACACAATACATGTAATGCCTGAATGTAGCAGACCCTATCTTTTTACATAGTCTAGTTCTAGTAATATTAACACCAATAACGGTTAACACAAACATAAGTTTTCAAAATGTTCAAAAGTATTGAGACAGAAAATACAACTTTCTTGCCCTTATTTCCACTTCCAGTTGATGCCAGACAAATCAGCGCAGTCTGATTTTTATGCATTCACAGCGCCTCATGGCATATTACGGCAATATGATCATCTTCATATCTGCATATTCACTGCCACTGGTTTCTTTAATTTATTTGAAAAATAATTGAATTTTTTTAATTTTTTTTTAAATTTATTTAATTGGATTGTTTGTTCTCATAGGCTCGACAATGTGAAGGGGTTCAATATTTCGCTACCATGATTTCTGTATTTTATAAGCACACATTTCCACACAATTATGAAATGTGAACCAGGCTTTCATATTTGTATCAAAAATCTGGTAAAAAAAGAAAAGCACCATTTGTAACAATTTGAAATGACCTCTGTCATGACATTAGGTAGAGAGACATACTGAGATACTCATAAGCCAAAAAAGGTTTCCATTTATGCTTCTGAGCTGAATTGGGGTCAGTCAAAATTTCCTGCACATGCACAATGTGTGTCTAACACACATTGTCGCCCAATTTGGAGGTGTTTTTGCAGCTTTGAATTTTTCATGAAAATGCCAGATACACAAGAATTGTTTTCGATAATATAAATCTGGAAGATGCACTCTTTCCTAAAAGAAAAACCTAGAAAATTATATCGCCTGAGCCACATGGGGATTTCCTTCTTGTTTTGGGCCAATTTTAA